TCGAGCGATCGGCCCGCGAAGAATCTTGCAAATTTTCGGCCAAGTTATCTTCGGAACGCGATGCTCAGCCTGCTCCTTGGTTAGGCGATATTGGCCGGCGATAAATTATGGCCCCGATGCGGTAGACACACACCAAGTTTATTTCGGGTCATTCAGCCACGATTTACGTCGACGTCCGTTGTTGTAGCGGGACGATAAATTGGGCGGCGAGGCGAGGATTTCCTCGGCAAAACGCCGAAGGAAAATCCTCAATGGATTGTTGTTGTTCCCCATGCGAGAACCAGCTTCGTTAACTCGCCTTTCCGATTGGCTGTCACGCTGGTGGAAAGAAGCTTCTTACTTGAGATCGAAATTCCGTGATTCGATACGATCAATTTCAATCCCGGGTCTTCACTTTCAAATTCGAACATTTTCTTCGTACATTCCTATCGAATTTAATACTCTTGCATTGAAATATTAGGATATTCTTAACATTCGATTCTTAATATTCTTATGGCCTTACCAGTGAAAAATATGTTTTAATATATGTTAATGTATTAAAAATCATGCCCCGATAATAATTCTCGCATTAAAATTGTATTTCAATTTTCTTTCTACAATATTAATTCAGTTAATATCCTGTTTGAAATTAAATTAATATTGAAATCATTATTAATATTATATTAGAAATTCAGCTGGGGCCTGGATTCTCGTGCAAAAATACGATTCTCAACGAGGCTGAGGCACTCTCGCTGAGAGGAAATATCAAATATAAATTTATATTTGTATTTTTACATTTATGTTAGACTTTCGATTCTATTCCTTTAGTTACGTTGCATTTATTTATCATTAATTTGGGAACAAAAAATTCAACTGAATATAATATCGTATTATTTATTATTATTATATAAATTTATATTATACAACTACAACTACATCACTTTTATCATAAAGCATAAAGAACTGAGGAATTTTCGAAATTTCTCAAAAATCTGCCTGCTTCCCCCGTCTCAAAAAAAAAAAAGAAAAAAAAGAGAAAAGAAAACGAGTAGATGTCTGGTGCTTCGTGGCGGCAAAGACCAAAGAAAAAAGATTCGCCATTCAGAGGGCATGTGCCCTGGGGACGCGTGCGTCGAATGCAAAATACAAGCCTAGTCCGTCTCCGTGTTAATTGGCTTTCTTCGAGTCCCGCGGGAGCGTGCCTCAATAGTTCCATTTTTATTCCTCCCCCCCCCTCTCTCTCTCTCTCTTCTCTCGTCTCATTTGGATCGCGGGATGAGCGGATCTGACCGGAAATAAGTTTCGTCCTCGTCCTCGTCCTCGGGCTCTCGATGTCGTTAAAACTGTTCGCTGAACAAAGAGAGAAAAATAGAGAGAGAGA